ATAGTGGATGTCAATTATTTTCAGTTAACTACAAGTTTCTAACAATCTGTCAAAATTGAGTGGCATGCGCTCAGCTTTCTCTTCCTTACACTATCCTCGTTTATTTATGGTCGTTGAATCGAATAAATCAAACTAATGGTCGTTGAATCGAATAAATCAAACTAGAATCGATTGGCTGGAAAACTAGGGACGTGCAAAAGAAGATGCACAATTAGTTCCTTGTATAGGAGTTTTCAAGAAATTTAAGTTAATTTTGCGATATGAATTATTTTTCGGTTAAAATCCTAACAGTCCGTCAAAAGAAAGGATTATCCTACTTTATGAAAGAAACTTAAGTACAACCGAAAGCCATTCAGCGAATATTCAAGAGAATCACGCATTGTCATGCATTTTGACTTTCTCAACGAGTATCGACACTCAACTCAACTAATTTCCTGAACAATGTAGCCTCGGTGCAACAGAACAATCAAATTGTATTAAGAGTGTTTATCTAGTTGGATTAACAGTTTACTATCTCGTATCTTTAAAAGATGCAAACAAATCTAAACTAGAAATTATTACACATCAGTTTGGGATTACTCGATGTTAAAATTCTTATCAATCATTGGTTACTTGCATGTGGGGGAATGCAAATACTCTCCCCACGTGTATTTTACTAATACACAAACCTAAAAAATTAATTATTTTTTGGTTGACAAATTAAAGTAATAATTATACTAGAAGAGGAAGAATAATAGTAGAATTTTAATATAATTAAACTTTGAGTTTTGAGTGATAGTAAAGTACATGTGATATGAGGAGAAGCGAAAATATTGAAATGAAAAAGTGAAAAAGTTGCTAGCATTTCTTAATAGCAGATGATAATAAAAGAATTTTTATAGTTCTTCGTATATGATATTCTAGATTTTTTTTAACCGCTAGATATTTGATTTTGAACAACGTAAAACCCAAAACTCAGGAAAGAGGACACGTGTCTAATCAAATCAAGCGAGTAACGCAAGTTCCACGTACTCCGTACACACGCACCTCTCTCCGCCTGTACAAACGATTTCATATTCCCTCCAAACGCCGCACTCACACACACACACACACAATCATCAGAGAGAGGGAATCTGAATGGCTATCTTGAAAGGGGATGGCGTCGTTCCGGGCAGCGACGGAGGCAGCGGAAGGCCGGGGTGCATAACGAGCCACGTGGCAGAAGGGAGCGTGGAGAGCTTCAGGTTCTACCTGTGCCGTCGTACAGTCATGGAAATGCTGAGGGACCGAGGCTGCAACGTCTCTGACTCGGACCTCAATCTCTCGCTCACTGAGTTCCTCTCCGAGTTCGGCCCCAACCCGGACCATGAACGCCTCAGCGTCTGCGTCCCTCTCCGCCCAAGCCCTCCAAGAAGGTAACTTTCTTATGTATGTGTTCTGTTTTGTGTTTGGTTGCCTAGAAAAACAGGGGAATGGAAGGAAAAGAAGATGTTTTCCGAGGAAAGATGACACCTTTTTGTCCAAGTTCTGATCTTTTTTGTTTGAAATAGAAAAAATGGCAACCAGAAATTGTTTCCTTTAGGAAAGACGACATTTTTTTTTCTGGATTTGTTAAAAAATGACACTTTCTTCGAAGTTTCTATCTTTTTTTCGTTTGTTCGACAAAAAAATGTCGAAAAGAAAATGTTTTCTTAGTAAAAGTCGCAAATTTTTCTCAAATTTCCAGTTTTTTGCTCGACAAAAGACAATGTGGCATCAAGAAAATGTTTTTCACGGATGACACCTTTTCTTCAAAGTTGCATCCTCTCTATTACCGCGGCTGCTGGCACAGAGTTAGCCGAAGCTTATCCCTCAAATGCCGTCATTGATTCTTCTCCGGGAAAAGAAGTTCATGACACCTCTTGTTCAATGTTCCTACCGCTTTTGTTCACAAAAAAAAAAAAAAAGAAGAGAATTTCCCAAGTTTGAAGCTTTTGGGAGAATAGATATCTGTGGTGTAAATAAAAGAAATACAGTTAACATGTAAGTTTGACAAATTATGTACAAGTCTGAACTTTCTGAGTAAGTGCGTATAATTGCTCAGTAGTCGATTGTTCGATGGTGGCTCCTGTGATCCCGATTGCCTCGTGGTGCCAAGATTATTTAGGTTCTGTATTAAATTTAGGAGCAGAGAAGTGAATGAGGACATATTCTGGAAGAAATGAACAACGCTTCATGGAGCGAAAATTTTTGAGTTTGATTGACTTTGTTTTCTTGTTCGAAGTTGGAAATTATCTCAAAGAAAAGGTTCTTTAGAACCAAAGATTTCGTAGTGGTAAGTGATATGTAATTTTATTGGTGTCTCTCTTTTCCAATGTAATCCCGCACGCTCCCATTGCAGTATCAATGATGCAACTGAATGTTGAGTTTCTTTGCAGATTGTTGTCATCTTTTGTGGAACTGACGAGATAAGGAAACGCAATATGTGCGGTATCTATGCTGGCCTCCCGAACAATGCAAGTATTCACCAGCTGATTCTAGTCTTACAAAGTAAAATGAACTGCTATGCTCGGAAAGAACTTGAAAAGTATCCGTTTAAAGTTGACACTTTCCATGTAAGTTACCTGATAGTTATTCTTCAATTTCATTGTACTTTACCATTTCCCAAGTTTCTTAAGGACAACCACGTTTGTTGTCGAGGCATTTAATGCTTGTTTATGCTGAATAACAAGAAATATCGGTCATCTGGATTTCCTCGGAAACAGAAAACGTTCAAGTTTTCAGTTCGAATGGTTCTTCTTAGTCTACTGGTTTTCTTTTGATTTTGATTGCATCATTCTGGGAAATGGCTCTCGTATGCAGATACACTTATCTGTTTTAATGATTGTGTTTTCATCTTTCTGTTCTTTCGGGTGAAAGTTCAAGGATGGCAAAACAATGAGTATGTTATCCTTGCTTTTCTTTCCCTTAATAATTGGAGTCGAGCATAAGTTCAGTCAGTCCTACGGTTTCTTCTCTACTTTTTCTTTGTGCATTTTTCCCTAAATAACTTGTGCGGCTTCAGATCTCGGACTTGCTGGTGAATATCACAAATCATGTTTCACAGCCGAAGCTTGAGATACTTGCTGCTGAAGAAAAGAAGAAGCTGCTAATGAAATACAACTTGGAAGACAAGAAGGTAACTCTACATGTATTATTTATTTATCCTTATGTTGGAAAATAACCTTAATTTATTTACTTTGTCTTGGCGGAGTATGTCACTGATCAGTACGTGCCTATTAACGAAGTGTGAAATACCTTGTGTGTTTGTCTATAGAAAGAACATGACTTTTAATGGCTGAAATTTACAGCATCATGATATCGAGATGCATGGCTAACTAGAACAGTCGCTTTACGAGTGATTAGTCTTTACTGCTTTGATTGACAAGGAAGCTAGCTAGTTTCCGGGTGACGTATAGCTCTCGATAGCTGGTTTAAGAAGTGCTTTACCCTATTAGCAGGGAACAAGGTGGCCATTCAAACATTTTGATCTGAAAAAACTTGTGTTGGTAGCATGCACCAAAGGAAAAAACCATCCAATCCTGAAGCAATTTTCCCTGAAAATAGCTTTGCAGTCAAAATCTTCTTACCTTGCAGTCAAACTTTCGTTGGCTGCTAACATATAACTGGTTTTTCAGCGTTTGATTGAAATATAATCGGAGTTGTTGACTGAACGAATAACTGATATGAAAAGCAGGGAGCCTGGTTGGCTTGCGGTCGCCCTTTAAGATTAAAAGTGAGATGTGACTCAGATGCTGTCTAATTTAGTTTTCTTATGTTTCTTCCTCAGCTCCCTCTGATGCTGGCAACAGATGCAACTGCACGATACTACGGATTGGAGAAAGGGCAGGTGGTAAAAGTCAATTACAGCGGTGGATTTACTGGACCACTTGAAACTTACCGCTGCGTCGCTTGATTCTTGTACAAGATTTAAGTGCCACTTTATGCAGTGATGAGTGCTGAGTTACAAAAACAAGTTCATATCTTAGACAGGGTTTCGACCGAGATACAAAGATTGGTGTTGGTTTATTGGCTTGGTTTTAGATAGTACTAGTCATGGTGGTGGTTGAATTTGGTATCCTCTCTGAATGTGATACGTACAATCATCAATATAACTTGGATTTCTTGGTATTTTTGTCCCAATCCACCACTGTAAATAATTTTAAATTTCACTATCGTTAAGTGATGATGTAGACAATTGTTAAAGTAAGTTTTACTCTCAAATCATCTATGAAGTTTTGAATTTCCATATCGATGCAGTTTAGCTAAACAAATTTACGACTTAACATGGCTAGGAGTCAATTTGGCAATTAGAGCTCCAAAAACGACGATTAGTATACACCAACTTTAATATTTGTCCAACTCATCATTTAATGCTAAAAACATCATCACATAATGTTGGTACAGTCAACGCCAATGGCCTAACAGATGTCTAACAAGTTTTTTAGATAGTTATTTAGAATATTTTAAAAAGATGAGACTAATTTGAAATTACTCCAAAAAATTGAGTTGTTATCCGTACTTAACTCAATCTAATTTTTTTTTTGAAGTTTCTAATGACAGAATGTAAAGTTGTAGAAGCAAAAAGTTTTTTATATGGGTACATTTGTAATTAGCGGTAGTTGTCGATAGATGTGCCGATGACGGTGGTGTGCCTCTTAGTGACAAGGTTGTAGCAGTGTGGGAAGGTGACGGTCACCTTTGTCATTTTACATACACCAAGATCCCTACAGAAATATCCAAGTATATCCAAGCCTCCACAATGTAACAGCGTTTATCCTGCACCCGAGATAATGTGTTTAAATCTCATCGCCCAATATCACTTTATGTCTGTAAAACTAGGTTTTATGGCACTAGTTTATAGTAACATTGTGCAAATTCAACGTTGAGGACTAAATTTACACACGGTAAATGTTGAAAACGTTATAAGCGATTTCAATTGTTCATATCTTTACTCAACAATCTAAAACATCTACTATATCCAAGCACATTACGAAAGAATCTCAGTTCAACTCGGGATTTATTTTCGCAATCTCAACGTATAAATTTCTTACTAGCCGAAGAGCCGGATCCGCAGTGCACCGATAGGCCAATACTAGCTAGACACGTGGCTCCCGCCCTTCGTACATGAAAATATTACTAACAGAGGTCTCAAGTATTGCCTTGAATATGTTTAAGGAAACACACCAGCTAATCTTATGACACTTGACTTTAGTCTTGAAACATGGATATAATATATGCATGCAACTAGTTTTACAGAGCAGATTGGTTTACAGGATACTCCCCATCGGTAATGTTGTCCGAAGGCTGAAGCTCCTCGACCACTATGACTATATGGCTGACAACGAAAGGAAATCTCCACGTTATCAGTAAATCCATACAGCCGTGTATGTGAAACGAATTATATTATTAACAAGCATGGGAGAGATAAAGGAAGGAATTACCCTTGTCGAATTCTGAGGCGCACACATTTCTTCACAGAGAGGCTTCAACCTCCATAGTTCCACCATGATCCGGACCACTGCTAGATGCGTTTTCCAAGGTACCCATCAGAAGACTGTTTTTAAACTGGTCCACAGAACCGGGCTCAGGGAATGGGCGACAGCTTTCAGATCCTTGGCGAGGAAAGCACTGATTGTTCTTCAGACTGTCGGGAAAGCATTCATTTGACAAGTTCACCAAGCCTGCTGTTTTGCGTTCAGATGTCAACTTGGTAGAAATAGGTGATTCAGATGTGTCAGACTTTTTTCCCGATGAATCCAAGGGTCTATGGAAGAGCAAATGAGCCACAGTTCGATCTATGGGATTGGTCTCTGTTTCCAAATCTGGTATTTTACCAAACCTACAATACCATAGGATTAACAGGAAAGTGAGTGATGATTCACAAAGACAAAATGATTCTTACCCTTGACCCAAATATGAAATTGATCAGTCAGTCCACCACAAATAGATAGAGCAATACAAAAGGCCGAACATACAAAGGCTTTCGAATATAGTCAAGAAGATGTAGACATAAACGGTGATAAAAGAAAAGAACTACATAAGTTTTTTCCATTTCCCATTTACTTTATAAGAGTGGAAAGGAGGTATGAAAATGGTGGAAAAAGGATTGTAAGAACCACCAAAGAGGTGGACAGACAGTGAAACATGGGTGTGCAATATTTCGAGACAAACCTGTTAGCACTTTGACGAGGTGAGATTCGATACAACCATTTGCCCACTAATGCCCTATTTCTTTATAAAATTTCCTAGAACTGACCTTTCTACCTGGGTTTCTGTACAAGAATCTAGCTGATTAAATGATCCTTTTTTCCCTCACACACCCCCAACCCCCCCTTCCTAAATGGAGTGTATCGTTAACATTCCTATATTGCCAGGATTAATACCAAGTAATGAAGGGGAATGAAACATGTTATGTTCAAACTAAAATTTTAACAAGGTTAAGACAGTCATGACTCACGTCCATTAGCTTCATGAATTTTATAAGGTTCTATAACCTAGGATGACTGTTTCCCTTTCTTTTCCAATTGTTTATGAGTAAATTTTTGTTCTTTCACAGTTTGGAGAGAATGCGATCATCCAACCCAAAACCAATTTGCAATGTGTGGAGAGCCAAATTTTTTTAAGAGAATAGATTTGCATCCTACCATGTCCACGGACAATTTTTTACAGTTGAAGTCCGTTGGGCATGCCATATCATGCTAAAATATGAGCATCGAACCCAAAGAGAGAGGCCCAAGATCATTTAAGCATGTATGTTAAACTTCCATCGTCCGACGTGGGACAGGCCGCCTTAAGGATGTAAAATGCATGTAGGTAATCAGCATACAAAGGATAACCACTTGAGCTAAAATGAAAATGTAAAACTATGAGAACAAAGAAAACTCGTTAACCTGCTATGACTATTGATTTCCTCCTTTGCAATGACTTCACCCTCAACCTTGCTACTTTTGTTTGAACTGCTAGTATCACTAGCATAATGCCTCCGCATTGCACTTTGAGCCAACCGGTACAAGCTATCCCGTATGCAAAGTCTTATTTTGATGTCCAACTGTAAACATTGCTTTTCCATTTGTAAGTTGTAACTAAATCCAATTTATTTACCTGACCAGGAGAAGAATCCAATTTGAAAGTGAGCATACCTTTGATATAATATATTGAAGCCTGTAAAGTATTGTATCCTCCGCTGAGTGATCATCAATTGCTGCAGAAACAATAGTGGAATCATCTTGTTCTACGGTTGAGTTCGGGTCCAGAGAAGGAAGACTACTTAAGCCTTCAACTTCCAGATCAGCTCTCTCAAAATGCTGAATTTGATTTTCTTGAGGGCCTTTTTGAGTGCTAGACTGATTGGTACTAGAGATTTGATGACTCAATTGTTGTTGTTGCTTCTGAATGGCAAGCATTGCCTGTAGTTGCTGCCGCCTCCTTAACTTTTCAATTTTCTCTTGAGGAGACATGGTTAGAGGCTTTGCTGAGGTATCTACTAACTTGTTTATAGCATTTGCAATCCCAGAAGAAACTTCATAACCAGAAAACAAATTTTGATGCTTAAATTTCCCAGGTTGAATGTGAGATGACACATGCGTAGATGGATTTGTGAGGTTCCCATATGTAGACTGGGCTGCACATTGGTTTGGGATATGCTGGTAGGGTAAAGGCTCGGGTCCTTGAAGCAGTCTCTTCTGCTTGGGAGCTGTAGAAGGAGAGGATTCTACCATGAAGCATTCCAATTGGTTCTCAAAATGTCCAGAAGGGGTTCTTGATGAAGGCCAAGTACCATAAAAATCTTGCAATGATTTCTCCTCACTTTTTTCCTCCAACTTTTTACGACACCTCATTATTTTTTTCTGCCTAGAAACCTGCACATATTAAGGGAAAGACACTATTAACCTAATTTGAATGATATGAAATGTACAAACTAACAAATTATGTTTGATATTTAATCAGTCAAGGTTTTTCTTTCCTAGATAAAGTTATGGCATCAAAGAAAATGTTCAAAATATTACATAACCATATGAATCCATAGAAGAAAGAGAACATTTCCTTTTAGTTGGATCATTAGAATGATTATGACATTTCTACAATTGATGTTACGCACATCAGACTCTCTGAATCTCAGTCGATGAATTTTTTTACTACACCTCTTTAACAATTTGGTTCTACCTCCCGGCTGAACAGACTTCCATTATGCAACGTTGACACACCGTTTGCATTTTAAAGTGATTTCTTAGTATTCCCCCATCTTAAATGGTATTATATTTTAAGGCATCAGACAGACTCTACTAACTCTCATAACTTATTTGCCTCATCACAGGACCTTGACATATCAGAACATAAGAGAGAAAAATAGAAAAAATGGTAGTACCCTATCAGCTGTTTCATTTGGGGAAGAAGAATTTTCGGCATTCAAGGAAGATTTTGTCAGAGTGCTTCGTCCCGTGTCCACATCTGACTGTGAAAGTCAAATACAATTATGAGATCACTTTCTTGATTAGGTGAAAGACATGAATATGCGAATGACTAATCAAGTTTAGATTAACTCATACCTGTTCCTTTTCCATGGTCTTACTTTTACCTCCAGCATATTCTACATGATCAAGTGCGGCATGTGGATTCTGCAGACCATAACCTGCAGAATAATCCATCTTCCCATAGCCTGGGGTGATTGACTGGTTATCTTTCTGGATATAGTCTGTTTTAATTTCCAAATACTCAGAAGCATTCGTTACTGCACCTGATGTGAAACTTGGTGAGTCTGAAGAAACAGGAAAGGCTTTGATTGGACTGTCAGTTGCATCTCTAGTGGAAGACCACAGCTCGTCAGCATTACCAAGACTTACATTGCCAAATATAGTGTCATCATTGCTGCAAAGTCATCAATTGTTTATGAGACTACAGAGTTGGATGGATACCATTAATAGTATTTAAAAAAATGTAAGGTAGAATAACGTAAGTTATGTAGAGGAATGGAGGGAGGAGTATCATAACCTATTAATATTTCATGGTCTGAAATTTTAAATGTATTTAGTACTTTGTTTTGTAGATGGTGTGCTTCAGTTTGTGAACTAGTACATCAGTGGAAAAGGAAAGATGGGGTACTTGACAGTAAAATTGCCACAACCAGCTGTCATTGAACACACCATTTTTTTTCTTGGGTGTTTGACAATGCCACGATGATGGCTTCTTAACTGCTCCAAGATGGAGACGAATAATAACAAAGAATAAAAGATTTTCTATTATACTTCAGTTGAGAAAACTACTGAAAAATAATGATAGCCATGAAACTGTACAATTAGTTTTCCTTTAATTAGTTCTGCAGATTATGCCAGCTAGTCAATTCTGAAAAAAAAGCCATGAAACTGTACAATTAGTTTTCCTTTAATTAGTTCTGCAGATCATGCCAGCTAGTCAATTCTGAAAAAAATAAGTATACGGTGCAATTTTTGTAAAATAGCAAAAATAAAATACAAATAATTTATATCAGAATGTTGTCGAGACTCCATTAACAAAAAAAAAAAAAAAAATCATGTCGTCATAAATTACCTAAAAATCCGGTCAAGATCATCAAAACTTCCAATGTTAGCCCATCCGTAGTCAACAAGATCACCTTGTTCTTTACCTTCATTCGAATTTTGAAAAATTTCACCATCTTTATCCAGTTGGATTGCCTCAGCTGTTAAAAAGGTAAATATTTTATAAGAAGCACAAATATTGTTAAAACTAGCAGAAATAAAATGTAAGATGGACAAGAAATTCAGCACTTCTAATTAAACAATCTGAAAACAGAATCACAAGAAACAATTGAAACAACAATCCACCTCCCAAAACACAACAAATAAAGAACTACTTGCTTATCATGGTGCTATTTAGCTTCTTTGTCATTTTTATAAAGACCAAAATCCCACATTTTTTATAGAATACAAGATGAATGGATTAAGTGGAAGAGTGCATCGGGTGTGTTGTGTAACTATCGTATGACACTAAAGCCGAAGGAAAAATTTTATAGGACACCAATAAGGTTAGCCATGCTTTATGGATAGAATGTTAGGCCGGTCAAGCATCAACACGTGCAAAAAATGTGTAGCAGAATTAGAAATGAGAATGCCTCGTTGGATGTGTGGGCACACAAGAAAGGACAGGATTAAGAACAAGGCTCTTCCAAGATAAAGTAGGAGTAGCCATAATTAAAGATAAGATGAGACAAAATCGGTTAAGGTGGTTTGGACACGTGAACCAGAGACCTATAAATGCTCTAGTTAGAAGATGCAATATGAGACAGAGGCTCAGATAAAAAAGGGTAGAAGACTTGGGAAGACTTGGAAAGAAACTCTAATAAACGACATGTAGTACTTGGAGCTAACGAAAGACTTGACACAAAACCGAGTGCAGTGACATTCTAAGATTCATACAATGGACCCCACTTAGTGGGATAAGTTTTTGTTGTTGTTGAATACAAGTACATGTTTTTGGCTATTGAACTTCATGTATTTGAAATTTTAAACTTACAAGGTAAAGACACACGAAAATCACCCTGACTATTATTTAAACCATATATTCTACCAATGTTATTCCCCATCAACTCAATCAAAGAATCAAAATCTCATATTAAACAAGTGTGCCACACCATCACTAATCTTCGAACAGTTTGATGATTTTGAGTATTTCACGTGATTTAACAAGTTAATCACAGATGGTCCAATTACATTAAGAGCAAACAACAGATGGAAAGATTGATGTCCCAGAAAATAACAAGGCTTAACTAAAAAAGACTAAGCATTTAGTAAACTATACAGGTCCCCAAGAAAGAATAGAAGGATGGTAAGCAAATGGAGCTGAGATAATGCCTAACCTTTAAATAGGATACAATGAAGCATAACAAATTAACCAGAGCCTGAATGAAAACATTGATTTCCATTGTCAACCGGAAATGTACACGGGTTAACTGACACTGGATTATCTATTCCCTCTGACGGTCTTATCCAAACTAAAGATGCTTTATGATTATAAATAAATAAATCTTAACTGTAGGTGATAATTTCAGTTAAGTTGTTGGGTGCTTCAGTACCTATGCAATGCTGTTCACTTTTGGCAACATTAGCTAATGATAAATCTGGCCACGAGTCCATTCCAAATTCAGAGGTAGAAATTCCTTCACTGGTGTCAAAATTAGGACTGCTTTCCAACTTTCTGTCTTGCAAGTCAATCTTGGGCCCATGGGTCTTCTGTTCGGTAGGCTTGATGGTGTGAGATTCTTGTTTCCATTGCTTCTTGTTACGATAATCCTCACTTGCCTCGTTGTAAGGCACAATATGATCATCACTCTCAACTGCCTCACTCCATACTATGTTTGCAAGCTGAAAAAAATAAAAAACGTTAACATTAGCAAGAGGCATGACAAGAACAATATTTAAATAGTATAATTGAAAAGTTGACAAACAAATTATTTAAAAGAGCACTGGAAGTATTAATGACGATTCTGTCAGCTCAGTGGCTTATAACTACTGGAAATTGCATACATATCAGATATAGAAAGACAACATCGAAAAGTGCATGAGGATTAATGTACACTCATTGGAAAACCACAAATCTTTTAAGATTCTGGCACTTTAACACATTGTACAAGAATTCCACAGGCCAAATAGAATTACCAAACACATCCTAAAAGTTCAAACACAAAAGATAAATATCATAGCTCAACAAGCTGCAGATTCCTAATTTAAATCGAAATAAAAAACTAACATTATCCAAGCACTCTTGCATGAAAACCATAGCTATTGCATCCAAGCATGTCTAAACACCTGATAAGCTTACACCCTTTTTTCTCAAACATATTGCGATTTTGCAGTTCCAAATTACAGCTTTCATAATTGTCATCATGGTTAGGTATTCTGTAACTAGCACAGTGTGCATAATAGCTTTTGAGATAGTGTGATTTGTAGCTTTCTCAACTAAGATTTCACTTTTCTTTTTGATTACATATACCGCATTTGAAACTTTCCTTACATCTTCTTCACTCTCATATTTTCTAGTTAAAGTATAGAATTAGAGCCTTAAAAACCCACATTTTTTTTAAGAAATCTATACACCGTCAAAGCTCAATGTCACATCTATAATCCCACTCGGTGCATTGTTTCCAAAATTCTTGTTTCTCCAATCTTCAATTCAATATATAGAGTTCTAGTTCAGCTCAATTCTTGTTTCTTCGCCTTGATTTCACTACACCAGCACCACGGAACTCTTCTTGCATCATATAAACTCATCTTATCCCCTAGTTTTGATGACTATGTGCTCGTATCCGCACACGAATTCAAATTCAAATTGTCGCTCCAAACATCTTGATAACATAACTAACATTCCGTCTGTTCAACAAATAAACCACCTCCTGAAATGTTCATCCTTGGACTCACTCCACTGTTCTTCAATCGTTTTACACAAATATATGCGAATACCTAATCAACTTTTTTTTCGCAAGATTTTCATAAATTCATTGTTCATTAATAATCATTTCTTCACCTCTGTTTCTCATTTGCTAGATTGTAACAAAAAAAGTCAATTACTGTAACAAAAATTCAAGAAAAATATATGCGAATACCTAATCAACTTTTTTTTCGCAAGATTTTCATAAATTCATTGTTCACTAATAATCATTTCTTCACCTCTGTTTCTCATTTGCTAGATTGTAACAAAAAAAGTCAATTACTGTAACAAAAATTCAAGAAAATATAACTGTTTAGCCGTCGTTTTTGGCACCAAATTGTTCGCCAAAAAGCACAGAAATTCACCTAAAATACAACAACAGCAACGGAAATTCATATATTTCATCTCAAAAACTCAAAAAAAAAAAAAAAATCATTTCACATTCAACACAAAAAATATAAATTTACAATCTTATTACTTAATAATGCAAAAATAAATAAATTAATTAATTAATTAAATTAAGAAGAAGAAACTGTATACCTCCTCGTCGTTCCAATCAAACATCTCTGAAGAAGCCACAGTTAATCGCAAAACCGAAACCGGATTCAGATCGACGCACACAGTTTGGTCTACACATCGCCAAGAAACTTCACACTGTCAGCATCCAATCAAACCTTCCAACGCGGCCAGAGCGAGAGAGAGAGTGAAAGAGCAAAAGCACGGCCACTCAGAGAGAGAGAGAGAGGGAGAGAGGGAGTGTGGAGGGAGAGAGGCTTCGAGGGTGAGGGAGAGAGAAGAGAAGAGTTTAGCTTGTGCCGGGGGAAGGAGGGCGGGTGGAGCCCAAGTCACGTGAACCGGTGAAACTTGGGGACACGAGTGATGGGAAACGTATCTAAACTCGTGGTCAGAGAGAGGGGTGATCTAATGCTGCGACCTGATTGGCTAGAGGACTTTTAGGGGTCCGGTTTTACATTTGCATTTCGGATAAATTCCATTTGCATTTGCATTTCGGTGCCCTTTTTTTAATTATTTTAATTTGGTGTGGGTCGCGCTGGAGGTGGTTTGTGGTGGACGCTGGGTCTGGACGTCGCTTTCGAAAGTTGGGCTGGATTGAACCGAAGCCACCATTTTTGTCCACGGCTCTTTGGATCCGGCGCAAGTGGGGTGGGTCAGTGCGGGTTGTCATCCTAACTTTTGGTTAATATTGCTAATTTTAGAAACATTCATATCTTCTTTTGTCAATTTATGGCTCGTTTGAAAGTATTTTGAAATAACTGAAAGGGTTTTTAAAAAATTAATTTATGGGTTTCAAAAGCACTTGAAGTGCTTTTGCAAGAACCACCACTTCTTTCAGGAACCACTTCGAATGCTTTTTCAAAATTTATTTGCATTTTTACTATAAGAATTGATTTCAAAAGTATTTTCACTAAAAGCGTATTCAGTCATTTTAAAATTACTTTCAAATGAGCCCTTAGACATCTCACTATGTGAGGATAGAAATTCTCTTGCAATTAATATATTATTTTAGATTTAGCTGCCACTTTTTTTTTATATATATATAAATTTCAAGTTAAGTCAATTACAGTTTTATAATTGCAAAAATATAATTTGATCTCTAAAGCGGACAACATATTGCTTTTTTTTTTTTCTCCTCCTCTTTCACCAGTTCACTTTGTACATTTTTTTTTAAATTTAATGGTTGGGGGGATTAAAGTTGGGATATTGGGTAATTATAAAAATTCAAAGGGTTAACTGGCCAAAATTAAAATTTAGAAGAAAATTTGTCAATTATAAAAATTCTAGGCTATAACCGGCAATAATTAAAATTTAGGAAAATATTGACAACTCCTTACAAATTCGGAAGAAAATCGACAAATGCTTAATATTTTATTACTTTAAACAAAGATACTTTTTCATATTTTGTTTTGTACCTATTCCTAAGCCGCATTAAAGCATATTTTGTTTTGTGCTCGACCGTCCGATTCCTTGAAGCCTGTGGCATCTTTGCTGCAGGTGCATGACATAAGATGGATTTTTTTTTTTTTTTTTTATATTTAAAATTGAATATAAACAATATCTGACGAAAACTACAATGAATGGATGTGATTGGAGGATCACAAGATCCTCACAAAGAACGATCTCTCAAACCAAAGAGCTTAACCAGAGAGATAAACATGCTCGAACACACAAGTCCAACATGATTTGTTTCCGAAAATGTTATAACAAATAGGTAGATGCAACGAAGGCAAATTTCGGCCCTTTGTCGGAATCATCCTTGAACACAAGAAAATTTGCAAGGTTTACATACAAAGATGAAAGATCTCAGCAAAGTGCCTTGCCTGATCAGTATCGTAGCTCCTCGAAGACGGGGTCTATATTTTGCCCCCATTCCCCGTAATACAGCTGCAACAGCTTCTCAGCTGGTGCTACACCTGCAATACATAATTTAAGGTTCAACGTAAACACACAATTTCCGCCAAAAAGAAAACAAAACACCAAATGAAAATTTAGTGATCGTCACGCTTAGTAATGGAAAATCAGCTTAGCTTAGCTCCCAATCCCATACCGGTTCTCGCCACCTCCACCACCCCATCCAAAAATCCCGATTCATTCAAGCCTCTTCTTTCCAGGCCATCCTGCACAAGAATAGACGGATCCTATGAGCCAGCCGCATACACACAGCACACTTAAAGCAGTAAGAGAAGTCTAATTTACCTTGGCAAACTTCACCACATTTTCGGCAACATGCTGCAGCAGTCCTCCACGAAATGGCGTCTTTAGACCAGTTTTGGGGACCTGCTACATGTAATTTTACAATCAGATTTGGAAACTTAACCGTTGTACAAGAATGCAGAAGAATGAGCTTTGTTGTGAAGCGTTTGACATCACCTTATCTCTCAGCGTCTGTCTTTCTTCAGTGGTCCAATCAGCTATCATGTCCAACACATTTTGTAGGGAAACTTCATCGTACAATAAACCAGTCTGGGATTTTAAAGAAACTCACAGGGTACGTAAGAGCCACAAAGACATAATTGAAATACCGGTAGATACAAAAATTATAATATTTGTTACATCTGTTATCAGAAAATAACGTTCAAACGCCTTTGGCTGCTTGGATATAGTTTAAGAAGAACAAATGAACTAGTTTGATATGAGAGTCGAAATGCATATTACCCAAAATGCTGGCAAACCACAAAATGTCTTCCAAGGCCCTGAACCAGCGCCCCTCATCTCCAAGTATTTCCTCAGCCTAACCTGAATGGGAAAAAAATCGGATAATTAGGCACTAACATCAGAGAAGCAAAAACGAATAATTAGATTGTTGACGCACATATGTATGAAATGAACCTCAGGATATATAGTTCCCAAATGCATCTTCCAATCACTTATGGTTGGAATAACTTCACCCGGAATGCAACAACGCTTTCCTGCCATAAACTCCTGCGGGAATATAGCCATACTATGTTGTTAACAAAACAGTAGCTTGGCACAGAGAGCTTGCAACTACAGAAGAAAGCCTCAAATTACAAGACTAGCTATGAAAAGGATAGATGGAAACCCGGAAGGTCATGTCAGTACAGTCAAAATAGTTCTTGTTCCGGTAGACAAAGTACATGGGAATATCAAGAGCATAATCAACATAGCGCTCAAACCTGCAAAAGAAAATAAGATAAAATCGACTACTTGATTTGAATTAATCTTGGGCTACTTGGAAGGCCACGGGAGCAGGCTGGGCCACAGGAATGGGCTGTTTGGCGTGTGGCGCACATGGGTGCGAGGCTAGGGCTCTGCTTAGCAACGCGTTGGGTTCGTGTCGTGCTTGAGTGGCTCGGGTTGTCTCACCTTGGGCTTGGGCCCGTGTAGGCTTGAATGACATGGCTTGGGCTGTGGTTGTGGTGCTGTGAGCCTTGCCGAATGTGGCTACTGTGGTGGTTGCCATGGTGGTACCCCGTAGGGATGGTGCCGCTCCACTCATTGTTGTGTTGAGCCTTGTAAATCGTTGCGGCCTTAATCCTCGAACATTGGAATTTCCATTCGTTGAGGTTTCCAAATCTCTTGCCATTGTACTTTTCTTTTACGTTTTATCAAAGAATTTTTAGAAAAAAAATCCAAGAATAAGAACGTACAAAAAATCTACAAATGAACAATAAAACGAAAAACCTTGAATGCGAAAGTCTTCTACGAGCGTTTGATCAAGACTCTCAATGAAAGCACCAATTTGTGGATGCAAATTTCCGCCTTCTTCTTCTTGGACAAAATTGCATCTACAAAACAATTAACACCTTAGGTTAAGGCCAAGAGCCTCACGTACCCATGATGAATGAGGGGGCTTTGGGCGAAGAACCTCCGATGCTAAAGTTAAAATTTAAGGGAAAAGTATTTAGAGAAATTTGGAGAATTTAGCAAGAGAGTTGGAATTGAGTTTTGGAGAAAATAAGGGTGTTTATATAAGGGTGTGGCCGGCCCCTTTAGGAAGAGATGGACAGGCCACTTGGATGGTTTTTTGGGTGAGATTCATGATTTGTAGCTAATTAATAAATTAATAAATCAATTAATTAGTTAATTAATTATAATTTGAAAGGAAAGATTTGGGGATTACCTTGTGAAGATTATTTGATGAGGATGAATGAAATAGGTGTTGAATAAATACCTATTTTGAGCACTTTTGACTTGATTAAGCGACAGTTGTCCAATGCTCGCGTGTAGGAGTTTCGGTGTTCATCGAGCGTAATTTTGTCCTTTTTACCCTAGAATCCACGTGTCACCTCTATATTCTTCTTGATTATTTTTGGCTCCACAACCATAGTTGACACACCCCGACCTGGAATGTCCACTAGGACCCCGAATTGAGATGTGCTGGCCGACACCTGGAAGGTGACAAAACCATAAAATGTGATAGTGTATAAAATGTGAATAAATTTAAACTTAAAAGTGCCTAAATACACAACTACGCGGTGAGCGGGTATGGACCCATTTCACACGTGATACAGAGCATAAGACAAGTACAGTGAACAAAGATAATAATGATACCATCAATATAAGCCACCAGAACTGGGAGTGCCATATTTCCTCGTCGATAAGGAACCATGGTACTAGAACCTGGAGGGGTGAAAAAAATAGAAAGTGTGAGTAGTTAAAACAAAGATTTTCAAAATCATTTCCATTATCAAAGGTAGTAACCCCTCGCCGTAAAATGCGAATAGTTTACAGAAAATCATACTACGTATAAGTATGAAATCAAATGTATAACAATAGTAAATCCAAAAGTATACAACGACATAACATCTCGTTAGCAACATAAATAATCATGTGTTTGATAATCCATACTAGCACGCAAGTCGGAAGTCACCTATGGTGACATGTACGATTGCACCCATATCTCCTCAATCAATAGTAGCACATAAGTCGGAGTCACCTATAGTGACCTGTACGACTTGTCCATCTCTCATCAACCAATGCTAGTCAATAGCTCAATAACATGCTAGCCAATAGCTCATCAATATGTAATAACATGCTAGCCAATAGCTCAATAACATGCTAGCTAATAGCTCATATTATCAATATGCAATAACATGCTAGCCAATAGCTCATCAACATGCTAGCCAATAGCTCAATAACATGCTAGCCAACAGCTCATCAATATGCTAGCCAATAGCTCATCAATATGCTAGCTAATAGCTCAATAACATGCTAGCCAATAGCTCAATAACATGCTAGCCAATAGCTCATCCATAAGTATACTTGCACATGAGTCGGAACCACCTAAAGTGGTCTGTACAACAGGTTGGGTGTAAATAAGTACGCTTAAGTGCTACGATTATGTGAAGGTTGTGCGACGAATCGCATGTCACTTACGAGTCGGAACCACCTAATGTGGTCTGTACGACAAGCTGGCACCTACCTTGGATTCAAGGTGAGAGTGTGGTGCGAGAGGTGAATGATCACGTGAAGGCTAGGCCTTGGCCACGGGCGAGAACACTAACACCGGGGTGCATGTTTATGAGCTCTAATATATCTCAACACAATCATACTCACTACCATCATTATCACCAAAGTGTACTTACCTGAATCTCACCTGAGTGTCCGCAGCGTTATTTGACACTTCAAAGCATTCACAATAATGAGATTCAGGTAATATAATATGAATATGCCATGATACAATCTAAACCCAACATGTCATAGTGTTTCCAAATATATATAATATAACATAGCGTGAAATGCATAATCTGTAACACCCCACTTCCAAACTTCTTAGTTTTAGGAATAATTATTGGTGATAAGCTCAGCTAGACACTAGTTTAATTAACTATCACTACTGACGTTTCCTTACTTCAATTTCTCGATTCTTCATACATTGATTTATAACCAACATTTAACCACCAACACATAAGGTTAAAACTCACATTTTACACCAATGTCCCTCACATTGTTCAATTCCCAAAACAAAGCTATTGTCTCAATTATTTAATCTCACATCTTGTATGGCTGCATCTAACGTCTCGTTAGACTGCCTACGTACCCTAAACAGGGATTAAGCCATTCGTAGTTCACGTTAATTATTTGCATGTGACATGCATAAATAAATTTAGAAATGTTTGCGACAACTATCAATTATATACATATGATAAGAAGGACAAATCCACTCACCTGGAGTCCATGCTATGATTATCTAGCGCACGCATCGAGACGTCTCGAATGATTGGTGCCTGTGACCAATTATCGAATCACATCTCAGAACTCTTATCAATAGAATATGTAATTCACGTAAAACACATCCTCAAGGACGTTCTAAAATAGTTCAAGACCCATTGACCACAAGTTAACTGTCGATCAAAGATCGACGGTAGGGTCTACACCCTGTATAGCTCGACCCAGAAGTCCACATATCAGATTCCCAATCTGCAACTCCCAAAGATCCACAATATACTTCTAGAATAACATATTAAAATTTCATTACGATCCAACGGTCAGATCTCCACTAATTGTCCAAACCAAGTGGCCATTAACATTTATTTTACTAACTTACAAATTCAATTTGGGGAAGATCCGTACGTCGGATTCCCGATCCATAAATTCCTATGATCTTAAAATATTACGTATTATAATGTATCCAAGTTTGTGACGATCCAATGGTCGGATTGTCGATTCACATTTTTATCAAGTAACGAATTTAGGTTCCAACGATCAACCTACGTCATTCAATATCAAAACTGAATTCAAGACATTCGACCTAGCCTAAAAATAGCATTGGCGGCCCACTGGCCACGCGCCGCCGTGGGTGGTGGTCGGCCGTCCCGACTCGCCTGAAAATCCGACTATCTCCAAAAATTCTCAAACTTCATAGAAATGAAGATCTCAATGAGTGGAACAAATTTCATACCTGCCACGAAGTCCAAAAGTGGACGAAAGATGGTCAATTTTGCCCACAAAGTCGGTGGGTGCCTAAAGCTTCCCGGTGTCGATTCGTCTTCTACAGTGGTCCAATGGGGTCAAGGTTGGTTGGGTTTTTCTCCTGGGATATGGGCTACAAAGCCCAAGTGGTGACATAGGCCATCACTTTGCCAATTTTCCGGAAAATCGAAAAAAGTGGCAGGAGCACTGTTGATTTTCATCAACTTTCGTGGCCTCCAACCGCCACATATCATGGTCAATCAAGGTGGTTCTTGGGTGAGTTTTGTAGAGGGGAATGAGAGCTTCAAGATGGTGGTAATGGCGTCGAAAAAATCCATAGGAGTTGACCGGAATCGGCCTTGGAAAATGGGAGCTTGCTGTGGGTGTGGGTCGACGGGAAGGCTACTTCCCCTCTTTTTTTTTTTTTGGTTTTTTTTTGTTTTTCCTTCTTCTTCTTTCCTCATTTCTGATTGGGCTTCACCCCACAAAGTGGGGATTTAATTTAATTAAATCTAAACCTCGAATAACCAATTTCGAACGTCCGTAACTATACCGGTATAATTCCGACTCGCAAACGGTTTTTGCCTATGCGTTCGTACCAACGAGTACTATGAGGATATGCTAAAAAAATAAGTCTCACGATGGTCAACGGAAGTCAAAGTTCTTGCCTCTAGGGCATTTTCGTAAATTTACATTTTTAAAATTAATAAAAACGTAAAATTTGGAACGGGTTGTCACAATAGTTGCACGTTTTGATGAGTTAAAGAAACAATGGTCATGAATTTTTAGTTGACGGACCATTGCTCCTATTGAGTTAAAGTTAATAGACCATTACTATAATTTCCTCAAAATTTTTAGTGCAAATTATACTGATAGTCTCCATGATTTATTTAGATTTGCAATTTCGTCACTCGTTTTTTATTGCATTTTTATTGTATATATTCGCTTAAGTCTAATATTTTATCAATTAAGTTGAATTTTTCATCACATTTTGGGCACATCTTCTCATTTAAAAGTGTTAACTACATTGTAAAAGATGAAGAATTGGTACAGAGGAAGAGGAAGATGATAGAGAGAAACAAGAGAGATTCTAGAGAGAGAGTTTAGAGAGAGAAATAGGATTTGTATTAACTGACTAAATTAATATTACACAATTGTTTTTATAAGAGAAATCTTAACTACTTTAACCAAATACTAACAAACTTACTAACTGTATTTCTAACTATATTACACTTGTACCCTTAATACTCCCCCTCAATCTCAAGTGGGGTTTCCTAGTTTGAGATTGCAGCAAAGTCTCAAATAGCAAACACTGAAATATGAACAAATGGACACACTACAGATTACAGCGATTGAGGTTGCTTTTGCTCCTCATGTTCTTCTCAACTACGGTCCCACAAATATGAACTAAATCTATACTTAAACTGATAGGTTTCCATACTCAAACATGCTACTTGCTCACTAAATTGACAGGTATTCAGAACTTAAATCCATACTCAAGAACGGTACAATTTCATCCCATTATCATCACACATCACTTTTGCAGATACAACCTTCCAAAGACAGAATGTTCTCCAATATTTCTTTCAACATACTCAGATAGATTATGGAACCATTCTGTATGCAGCAGCCTCCATTTCCGTCTAAGGGTCATCACCAAATCAATTCCATGGGCACTATATCGAGTTGTCATTTGGTCAATGGAATCCCTGCTCACGGAAATTTCCACCATATGCCCCTAAACTTATGTATCAAGACACCTTCAAGCTCACGGAAATTTCCACCAAGACGGTATCAAGACAGAGATGGTTTTGAGTCCTGTATCAGTGTCCAATAAAATACAACAAAAAAGCTACAAACATTAAATTGAAAATCCGAGTAAACTACGAGGACTATTTATATTTAAATTACCCTATTCTTCCCTTGTTTTACAATAGTTGGTGGGAGTAAGGGAAACAATTAAGATAATTAAAATGGTATACTGTTCATGTGTAACGTACGAGGAACTCGGCAACATGATTTGTGTGAGGTGGCCATTACCTTCAATGGTGAATACCATAAGAAAACCTAGCAATATATAAAGGGTCACGCACTCGGACTAGTCTCTCACTCACATTTTACTTGCCTCTTTCCTTCCTTGCCTACTGAAAACCAAGCAAAAACAGCATAGCAGTTTACGATGGCAAGCCTCATTGCTCCAGACCACTTCTCTCCTCACGACGATGCAGAAGCGCTCAGAAACGCATGCAAAGGTACTCTACTCTCTCTAACTATTTTTTAGCCAATCTACACTGATATAAATTTAAAATCATACCGTTCAGATTCTTGAAAGAAATTATGAAATGACAGCCAACAAAAGTGTCCAAATGTGTTTCCAGCCCGATCTTGACCCCCGTGTGTGTGTGTGTGTGTGTGTATGTGAGACGTGTACGCATGTCCCATACTTCTTTTGTTTGGTCTTTGATTGTATGAATGTTAACCTAAGTAGGTTGGCGATTTATTCAATTTTTCTTCTTCCAAGTAGATCATCACATGTTTCTCGCTTAAATTTTAAGTTTGATCTCTCATGTTTGGCCTAACTTATTCTAGGGGTTAAATAATTTTACGATCTAAAGTAATCTTAGTGAAAAAGAAAGAACAACTCCAAAACGAAAGAAATTATTAATTAAATGTCTTCCAAGTCCAGGAGAGTTCGTGTGTGTGTGTGTGTGTAAAGAAATGTATATAAATAAAGAATGCCGTATTATTAGAGATTGCCATTTTGCAACCACCTATTAGTGCCACACCAAAACTCACGTAATTAAGCACCACCTCATTAAATTGTGGATAATTAGTAGATATGCTTATTAATATATTCCTAAATACCACAATTTTAGTTGATTTCTTAATGTGAAAGATTTGCTATAAATATTAGACATTGTAAGAGCAAGAGACAGACACTAGTAAGAGAGGAGTCAAACCAAGAAAATTATCTACAACAATGGCTACCCTAATTGCCCTTGAAAACTTCTCTCCCGTCGACGATGCTGAAGTTCTTCGAAAATCTGTGAAAGGTTTAATCATTTTATTCTTATTTTAATTTACATGCAGATGATTAATTGTGTGTGTGTGTGTTTTTTTTTTTTTTTTTTTGAGAATTTATATATATGGTAATTTTAATGTATATTATTCATATTTTTGTGTACTGTGTAGGATGGGGGACCGATGAGAAGGCTATAATCTCTATACTGGGACATAGAAACGCAGCACAGAGAAAGCAAATCAGGCTTGCTTACGAGCAATCTTATCAGGAAGATCTTCTCAAGCGCCTTGAGTCCGAGCTCTCTGGGGATTTTGAGGTTTTTTCTCTCATACTTTCACCCTTAATCGATATTTACCATTGCTATTTATTTACTTTTTTGAAATATTCATAAGTCGAAAATAATTTAAATATTTTTGAAAATAAATACATGAAAAAATGTGTTATGTTTTGATTGTTCTTGTGTATCAGAAAACATAGAAATCTCCGAAGGGTTTTGTCCTTTTCCTACAAAGATATAGGAAGAGGGTGGAAAGGAGAATATTATCATGATGAGAGCAACATTTGAAGGTTCATAGAGAACAAATCAATGAGCTGTCAATAAATTATTAATTCCAAGTATTATTTTGTTTAAAATATCAATGGCTTAGAACACATATGGTCTTATCTCTACTAAAGAACGAAAAATATGATAAGAATATTATTTTTTAATATTAAGTTATTTTTTATTTTTTGGTTGTGGACTGAATTGTTTTGATGAGATTAAAAGGTACCACTTAAATACAAGAGTTTTGAACATTTCAGTCAGTCTATAAAAATGGGAATCTAAACTTTGGAACTGACCTAACTCACATTGTGTTCAAATTTTCTGCATGAGTTATGTTAGTTTTGTATCTCTTGCTTGGGCAATTTGTGTTATACCATATACTAAGACTAATTTCATTTGGGGATATGGCAAATGTAGAAAGCGATGTACCGTTGGATCTTGGATCCTGCAGATCGAGATGCTGTTTTGGCTCATGTGGCCATCAAGAAATCTGAGTGTAACTACAATGTCATCATCGAGATGCAACCATTCTATCTCCTGAAGAGCTCCTTGCGGTAAGGAAGGCTTACCAAGTTCGCTACAAGCACTCCTTGGAGGAAGACTTGGCTGCACACACCACTGGTGATATCCGCAAGGTACGACAAACATTATTAACGGCAAAGGAGTTTTTTTGGCAAATAGTGTGACATGTTATGTTATTGAACTATTAACTTGGATTACGTGAGAGTCTACTTTACTAATGGACAACATAATAAGTTGGAGAATTTGCCATTGTTTGCCTCCTCTTTTTGGTATTAGGTGAACTATTATTTTGGTATTTGTGTTTTTCTAGAATTGTGTTCTGAAAACTGTTAGAATAGAAGAATTGGTAATGGTGTTTGATGGTTTTTGGTCAATGTTACAGCTTTTGGTTGCTTTAGTGACTGCGTATCGTTATGATGGTTGTGAGATCAATGCAAAACTGGCCAATTCGGAAGCTGATATTCTTCATGATGCTATCAAAGACAAGGCTTTCAATCATGATGAAGTTATTAGGATCCTCAGTACTAGGAGCAAGACTCAGCTCATGGCAACCTTTAACCGCTACCGAGATGACCATGGTACTTCCATCAGTAAGGTACGTATGAAGGCCTTATGTCGAAGTTAGAGCATCCAACCCAAAACTAATTACTTACAGAGACTTTTATCTACTAAGAGTCTAAGATTCAAGACTGCCGAGTTTGACTTCTAAGTTTTCTTCTTTTTATCACAGAGTTTGTTGGAAGAGGGTGGTGATGGTCTCCAGAAGGCACTGCATGTAGCCATACGATGCCTCAATGACCCCAAGAAGTACTTTGAGAAGGTTCTTCGCAATGCAATCAAGAGGGTTGGAACTGATGAGGATGCTCTCACTCGTGTGATTGTGACAAGGGCCGAGAGGGACTTGAAAGACATCAAAGAGGTTTACTACAAGAAGAACAACGTTTCTCTCGACCATACTGTGGCCAAAGAAACTTCCGGGGATTACAAGGACTTCCTCCTTACTCTGCTGGGGAAGGAAGATTGAAAATCTTCGCTGAGCAAATTAGTATGATCAAGTGCTATGAGTGCTCTGTTTTTCTATTGAGTTTGATGACTCTCTTTATTTCCGTGTTTGTGTTTCCTTGTGGTGTGACTATCTACCTTACCTCTGTGTATGTTTGTTGGAGTTTAAGGTTTCTATCAAGACTTTCGTTTTCGTTTCGGATGTTATGGAGTATTAATAAAAAATTGATTTACCTAACCGTACTCTTCGAGACATTAAAAAAAAAAAAAAACAGTAGCAGGTGTGTGAACACAAATCGCAGAAATGTATAATAATTAGTTGAAAAAAGGTGTAGCATGTGTGAACACAAAACACAACACACAGTTTTCAAACACCACAATTTAATTTATTATTTAGACCAACCCCGCAAAAGACAAATAAAAAAGCATATCATGAGTCATGAGGTGTGAACACCAAAATTTTATATTAAAAATTTTTGAGAAAATTGTAGTAATGGTTTCTCAATTTTAGCTTAATTAGAGTAATGGTCCATTAACAAAAAATTCATGAACATTGGTCTCTTAACTCATCAAAATATGCAATTATGATCATTTATTTCAACTTCGTCAGAATTTCGTCAAAATAACTCATGTTAGAATGACCATTTCTATAATTGAGTTAAAGTTAAGGGACCATTACTATACTTTTTTTTTTCATTTGGTTTTTCATGTTTGCCTCTTGTTTCATCCTCACGTGTGTGACACATGATTTATTTTGACGAAAGTTCTAACGGAGTTAACAAAAATGACCATAGCTGCACGTTTTGATGAGTTAAATGAACAATGATCATAGATTTTTAGTTGATGGACCACTATTTCAATTGAGTTAAAGTTAATAGATCATTGCTATAATTTCTTCAAAAATTTTAGTGTAAATTGTACTAATAGTCTCCATGATTTAGTTAGATTTGCACTTTCATCCTCGTTTTTTATTGCATTTTTATTGTATATATTCGCTTAAGTCTAATATTTATCAATTAAGTTGAATTTTCCATCTGAATTTCCATCACATTTTGGGAACATCTTCTCATTTAAAGGCACCTATCGTGGATGAAATTTCTATTAGTTTGACGGAATAAAATTGCGGTAACATTATAAAATACAACAAAAAATCTACAAACATTAAATTGAAAATCCGAGTAAACTACGAGGACTATTCATATCTAAATTACCCTTTTCTTCCCTTGTTTTACGATAATTGGTGGGAGTAAGGGAAACTATTAAGATAATTAAAAAGGTATACTGTTCACGTGTAACTTACGAGGAATCTCGACAGCATAGTTTGTGTGAGGTGGCCATTAACTTCAATGGTGAATACTATAAGAAAACCTAGCAATATATAAAGGGTCACGCACTTGGACTAGTCTCTCACTCACATTTTACTTGCCTCTTTCCTTCCTTTCCTACTGAAAACCAAGCAAAAACAGCATAGCAGTTTACGATGGCAAGCCTCATTGTTCCAGACCACTTCTCTCCTCACGACGATGCAGAAGCCCTCAGAAACGCATGCAAAGGTACTCTACTCTCTCTAACTATTTTTTAGCCAGTCTACACTGTCATATAAATTTAAAATCATACCGTTCAGATTCTTGAAATAAATTATGGAAAGACAGCCAACAAAAGTGTCTAAATGTGTTTCCAGCCCAATCCTGATCCCCGTATGCGTGTGTGTGTGTGTGTGTGTGTGTGTGTTTGTGTACGTGTACGAATGTCACATGCTTCTTTTGTTTGGTCTTTGATTGTATGAATGTTAACCTAGGTAAGTTGGCGATTTATTCAATTTTTCTTCTTACGAGTAGATCATCACATGTCTCTTGCTTAGATTTTAAGTTTGATCTCTCAAGTTTGGCCTAACTCATTCTAAGGGTATAATAATTTTACAATCTAAAGTAATAGTAATACTATTCATATCATGTTTTTATATCACATTTCTATACCACCTTAGGTGACATTTTATATGGACAGCCACATCATTTGAAAAATTTGCAAAACCCAAGAAAAGGAAGGAGAAAGACTTCTCGTATACCACAATCATCATTTAATTAACTAGTTTTTCTTAATTATTAGTTTATTAAATAATGAACTAAATTTAAAAATCTGATTAATCCAAATGATGTGGTTGTCCACATCAAATGCTACTTAAGATGATATGAAAATATGATACAAAAACATGATATGAATAACATCTCTCGTAAGGTAATATTAGCGAAAAGAAAGAACAACTCCAAAACGGAAGAAATTATTAATTAAATGTCTTCTAAGTCCAGGAGAGATCATGTACATATATAAAGAATGTCGTATTATTAGAGATTGCCATTTTGCAACCACCTATTAGTGCCACACCAAATCCAACCAAAACTCACCTAAGCACAACCTCATTTGTGGATAATTAGTAGATATGCTAATTAATATATTCCTAAATACCACAATTTTAGTTGATTTCTTAATGTGAAAGATTTGCTATAAATATTAGACATTGTAAGAGCAAGAGCACAAGACAGACATTAGTAAGAGAGGAGTCAAACCTAGAAAATTATCTCCAACAATGGCTACCCTAATTGCTCCTGAAAACTTCTCTCCGGACGACGATGCTGAAGTTCTTCGAAAATCAGTGAAAGGTTTAATCATTTTATTCAGCCATTTAATTCTTATTTTAATTTGCATGCAGATGATTAATTGTGTTTTTTTTGAGAATTTATATATATGGTAAATTTAATGTAAATTTCGTATTTTTGTGTACTGTGTAGGATGGGGGACCGATGAGAAGGCTATAATCTCTATACTGGGACATAGAAACGCAGCACAGAGAAAGCAAATCAGGCTTGCTTACGAGCAATCTTATCAGGAAGATCTTCTCAAGCGCCTTGAGTCCGAGCTCTCTGGGGATTTTGAGGTTTTTTCTCTCATACTTTCACCCTTAATCGATATTTACCATTACTATTTATTTATATTTTTGAAATATTCATAAGTCGAAAATAATTTAAATATTTTTGAAAATAAATATATGAAAAAATGTGTCATGTTTTGATTGTTCTTGTGGGAACCGGATCCCCTCCGGGCTCAAATAAACCGAGCTTGCTGAGTAAGGGATCCGGGCTATTGAAATTTGATATAAATGCTACAATTATTATAACTTTTAGAGGACCCTCTGTTTGTAGTCGTTGGATTAAATTTCAACGGCCTAGATCCCTAACTCAACAGACTAAGCTTTATTGGGTTTGGAGGGGATTCGGTTCCGTTCTTGTGTATCACAAAACATGGAAATCTCCGAAGCGTCCTTTTCCTACAAAGATATAGCAGAGGGTGGAAAGGAGAATATTATCATGATGAGAGCGACATTTGAAGGTTTCTAGAGAACAAATCAATGAGCTGCCAATAAATTATTAATTCCAAGTATTATTTTGTTTAAAATAACAATGACATAAACCACATGTGGTCCTATCTCTATTAAAGAATGGTATTAACATTGTATGAAAATATGGTAAGCATATTATTTATTAATATTAAGTAATTATTGTTTTGAGATTTTTGTTGTGGACCGAAATGTTTTGATGAGATTAAAAGGTACCACTTAAATAGAAGAGTTTTGAACATTTCAGTCAATTCATCACTTTTGTATTAAATATATAGAATATAAAAGTTTTTGCCTCTCAAAGCTCTCTACATGGATGAACTTACATGGTATCTACTTTCGAACTCAAATTTTTTATATTTTATATTTCACAATGTAATATTTTAAATTACGCTAAGCTATGAAAATGGGAATCCGAACTTTAGAATTGACCTAACTCACTTTCTGTTCAAATTTTCTGTATAAGTTATATTAGTTTTGTATCTCTTGTTTGAGCAATTTTAGTTATGCCATATACTAAAACTAATTTCATTTGGGGATATGGCAAATGTAGAAAGCGGTGTACCGTTGGATCTTGGATCCTGCAGATCGAGATGCTGTTTTGGCTCATGTGGCCATCAAGAAATCTGAGTGTAACTACAATGTCATCATCGAGATTGCAACCATTCTATCTCCTGAAGAGCTCCTTGCGGTAAGGAAGGCTTACCAAGTTCGCTACAAGCACTCCTTGGAGGAAGACTTGGCTGCACATACCACTGGTGATATCCGCAAGGTATGACAAACATTATTAACGGCAAAGGATTTTTTTGGCAAATACTGTGACATGTTATGTTATTGAACTATTAACTTGGATTACGTGATAGTCTACTTTACTAATGGACAACATAATAAGTTGGAGAATTTGCCATTGTTTGCCTCCTCTTTTTGGTATTAGGTGAACTATTATTTTGGTATCTGTGTTTTTCTAGAATTGTGTTCTGAAAACTGTTAGAATAGAAGAATTGGTAATGGTGTTTGATGGTTTTTGGTCAATGTTACAGCTTTTGGTTGCTTTAGTGACTGCGTATCGTTATGATGGTTGTGAGATCAATGCAAAACTGGCCAATTCGGAAGCTGATATTCTTCATGATGCTATCAAAGACAAGGCTTTCAATCATGATGAAGTTATTAGGATCCTCAGTACTAGGAGCAAGACTCAACTCATGGCAACCTTTAACCGCTACCGAGATGACCATGGCACTTCCATCAGTAAGGTACGTATGAAGGCCTTATGTCGAAGTTAGAGCATCCAACCCAAAACTAATTACTTATAGAAACTTTTATCTACTAAGAGTCTAAGATTCAAGACTGCCGAGTTTGACCTCTAAGTTTTCTTCTTTTTATCACAGAGTTTGTTGGAAGAGGGTGGTGATGGTCTCCAGAAGGCACTGTATGTAGCCATCCGATGCCTCAATGACCCCAAGAAGTACTTTGAGAAGGTTCTTCGCAGCGCAATCAAGAGGGTTGGAACTGATGAGGATGCTCTCACTCGTGTGATTGTGACAAGGGCCGAGAGGGACTTGAAAGACATCAAAGAGGTTTACTACAAGAAGAACAGCGTTCCTCTCGACCATGCTGTGGCCAAAGAAACTTCTGGGGATTACGAGGACTTCCTCCTTACTCTGCTAGGGAAAGAAGATTGAAAATCTTCGCTGAGCAAATTAGTGTGATCAAGTGCTATGATTGCTTCTGTTTTTCTATTGAGTTTGATGACTATCTTTATTTTCCGTGTTTGTGTTAACTTGTGGTGTGACTTATATACCTTACCCTTATCTATGTTTGTCGGAGTTTAAGGTTTTCATCAAGAC